CAGGTCCTAAACATTGAATATATTCCTGTGTATACATTGCAACACATCTAGTGTGGAGAACCCTAGTGCAATGGTCATCTAGAACCTTGGTTCTCAACTGGTGGGTCGTGACCCAAAAGTGGGTCGCGACCCCATGTTCAGCGGGCCCTCCGCATGCCTTCCACTTTCCTAAGTGAGAGGCTCCTCTGCCTTACCCTAGCGCAGCACTGTCAGTTCTTGTGCCAAGCAGCCATTCAAAATATACTGCCCAGGCTGTTCATTTGAATAGTACCCCAAACACACTTCCCACCCACAGTTCGTACGCCCGCACCGGAACGCGCAGTACCCTAATGCCGTGTGTTCCATTGCAGTGCAGACATTGCAGACTTGGGTCGCAACTTAATGACCAATGACAAATGCGGGTCCCGAGGTTACACAGGTTGAGAATCCCTGATCTAGAACCTCTTAATGTAGCAAAGAGTATCAGAGTCACGGCACAATCCTTTACCTAGCCCTGTGTCCATCTTTATTTTTAAAGCTGCCAATGTTTTAGAAGTATCCATTGTGCCTAACTGGAAATCTCTACAACGGTCTATAAGTCATTATTAAATGTTGACCTAGACACAGATTCTACAGTTCCCATATAAATAGCAGTGATAATAATTTGAACATTCTTATCTGGGCCCAGTGGAAACTTCAAGACCCTCTAAAAATTGGTGCCCAACTTGGGGCCCATTGGTGCTTACTGTGCAGCTCTCGGACTCCAGCAACCAAGGCCAGTTTTAGACATATGCTATGGCATATGCTGATTAATGTACGAACGGCCTATATATAAGTAAACAGCTACAAAAGCATAATATATCTGGAACATATGCTCATTATAGGATGGGTTTGAAGCAGTGAGTTCATAGGGCCCTCAGACTTGGGGACCCCAGGCGACTGCCTAGTTTGCCCCCTTCCCCCTGCAAAAATTATTTCTGCCAGCGGCTTTTTGTAAAAGCATTGATTTGTAAAAAGGGGCTTTAATAGCAAAAGTCCCCAACAGTCTCAATTAACATGTCCCCAGTCTTTGATTGTCTTCAGCCACCCGTCTCCAAACACACCTGTAGCATGTCCTAAGTCTCTGACCATCTTCCCTAACATGACGCCAGTCTTTGATGGGGAAGAGCCACCTGTCTCCAACCACACTTGTAGGATGTCCCAAGTCTCTGAACATCTTCTCTAAAGGTGGCCATACACTGTACAACCATCGCAAGACCTTAGTCTTGCGATGGTTGTAAAGGGATTAAAAAAACGTACGCTCTGCCTATCTTGGACGGGCAGATCGCACTCTTGATCATCGCAAGCCACGCCCCCTGAGGGGCGGGCTTGCGATGGCTGTAATGAGGGGCGGGCTTACGCAGACTGCAAACGGGCAGTGTGCGCGTGCGCACACCGGCCCGTTCGGCAGTCGTCGAACCACCGGTCCATCAACTCGCCGAGAATCGTACGATTCCCGGCGGGTTTTCAAACATGCTGGTTCGATGGAAGACGTGCGACCGTACAGTAGAAACGGTTGCACGCCTTCCATACAATACACGATTCTCGTACGATCGCGGGATTTCCCGCGATTCTCGTACGAGAATCGTGCAGTGTATGGGCACCTTAACATGTCTCCAATCTTTGATTGTCTCCTGCCCCACGTCTCCAGTCTCCAACCACACCTGTAGCATGCCCCAAGTCTCTGACCATCTTCTCTAACATGTCTCCAGTCTTTGATTTTCTCCTGCCCCACGTCTCCAGTCTCCAACCACAGCTGTAGCATGCCCCGAGTTTCTGACCATCTTCTCTAACATGTCACCAGTCTTCTGTAGCTTTACATATACCAAATATGTGTAGCCCCCTCTGTAACATTAGGGACCACACTTGAAGCCCCCCAAATCTAGCAAGTTGACTCCCCTCAAGCATTAGAGAACAAAACAGGGTTTGATCACTATTTCCACAGTTGGCTATTTTACTGCTCTGAAACATCAGCTTGACCAAGGAATTGTATTGCAGTGGAGTTCCCATTTACGCTTTCTAGAACTACAATTTGCAGCGTAAGCCACACAAAGGCAATAGAAACATTGTAGCAATCAGAGGAAGATTTCTCCCTGTGTCGGCTGTACAGTGTCATGTAACAGACCCAACCAGGAAATGCTCCAGCTTGTGTTGCGGGATACAATGTAACATTCAATGATTAACCTGTCTTGGCAACAATGTAACACCTCAATGTAAACACAAAATAAAGAGACTAGGCAGCTCATTTCCCATTTGATCCTTACAATTAGTACAAACCTGCACCATTATCACATATTGTTTCATCTCAGGTATTTTTTTATTCATTTCTAGGAGTATGTGTCTTAATGCACACCTGCTCATATAGGAGGGATAGGCTTAGATGCCCACTGCATTGAATGGCATATACAGTATGCAGGTGATTCGTTCATGGCCCTAGGCCAACGATAAATTAAATGGATATCTGAACAGAACAGGCAATAAATGTCACAATAAAAATGACACACCTTCCGATTAATGTGACTATTGTCTTCAATAAAGACCTCAGAGGCTTCAGCATTTTCATACATCAAGTGCCAGCCAGGCAGCATGGCATAGCTTATTAACCCACATCATGCCATACATAATGAGATCTGAAGCATATGCATAAAGGATCATGGCGATTTACTGCTAGGGTGACCCTTTTCACTAGATGTGAAGCTGGTGCGGTATAGCACAGTATAGCACATGAACCTCATTTTTAATGCACTGGCAGCAAATCTGCACCCCTTACCTTGCGTGGGGTGCTGCAGAGCCGACATCAGGGCCAGCAGCAGCATCAGCACAGCAGTCCATCTGGTCCATGTAGGTTCTAGGAGGGGTCCCCTCATTGCACCCCATCCTTGCGCCACCATGGGTAGGGGTCCACCAAGCCACTTGCCAGCAGGAGCCATCAGTGGGGGTAAGGCAACAGCCCGAAATACATGAGAAGGAATCACCCCCTCGGGTCACAGCAGCCCCGGATCATCAGATGTCATCAGTACAGTCCCCCCCAACCCCCCTAAAATCAATGCCAAGATCTCTTGGGTGCGCTGGCTGCAGGTATGCTAGGTGCTCATGGTGCTCCAGGTGAGCGATCTGGTGGCAGGGTGACCCAGGTGGACCTGTTCTGGCCAGCTGGAGGTGTGGTCATTCAGCGTTTCTGTTGCTCTGGGGATGCAACTGTTATTGCAGCTTAGAAACGTCTTTTCATTGAAAAAGAGATCACGTAGCAACCAGCTATAAAAAAAAACGCATTGACAAGAGCCGGAGCTGGCTGGGTTATGGGGACCTCTGCTGGACCAAGAGAGGCAGGTCAGGACTGGGACCTCTAGGGAGCTGTCAGCTGCGAGCACACCTAATGAGGACCTGAGGACATCCACTGTGAAGTCTCTGCCCAGCGCCGCAAATGGGGGCGACAAATGCTACCTGCGAATGTAGATCGTCCCTGCTGGACACAGCGACACCGACGCCATCTAGTGGTTGAATAGCGGTACTGACTGCAGAGGCGACGAACTGCACACTGGAGCGTGCTCAATGGAGGTAAGATAATTTCTGAAAGCAGAGACCCCGGAGAATAAAATGGTGGCAGTTGCAGTTTTTTATGTGACACAAAATCTGTGCAAAAGTTTATCAAACCCAAATTTGAAGTTAAAAAAAATGTATTCAAATGAATACATTACATAGTTACATAGTTACATAGTATTTGAGGTTGAATAAAGACATTAGTCCATCAAGTCCAACCTATTAGGATCTCATTCTAGGAGTACCTGTACCCCTGTATATTACGGTCCCTTAAGAAATCGTCCAAAAGTTTCTTGAACAATTCCACATTATTTGCTGAAATCACCGCCTGTGGCAGTGAGTTCCAGACCCTAACTGATCTTACTGTGAAGAACCCCCTTCGCCCCTTGTGCTGGAATTTTTTTTCCAATTTTTTTTCCACCAATTTCAGGTGGTGGCCTCTAGTTTTTGTAATTGAGTTAATTTTAAACAGTTTATCGCTAATGTTGCTACCACAATTGAACATTTTGTACATGGAGATCATATCCCCCCTTAATCTCCTCACCTCCAATGTGAACATGTTTAAATTTAGTAGCCTTGTCTCGTAGCTCTGGTCCTCCATACCCCTAATTAGTTTGGTTGCCCTCCGCTGTACTTTTTCCAACTCAAGGACATCTTTTCTTAGTACTGGTGACCAGAACTGGACCGCGTACTCCAGATGAGGTCGAACTAATGATCTATAAAGTGGCAAAATTATAGTTTGTTATTTTTGTGTATTGTTCAAATACAGTACCACATTCAGCAGAGGTCACCCGGCTAAATCTGATAAAATATGGTCCATCTGGATTGAATCCTCCTGTACGGTAGATGATTGTGTGAGCCCCATTACGGTGCTTACTAAAAAAATGGTGTCTCGCTAAGCTTCTATGTCCGGCCCCTCCTGCTGTATATACCGCTGCGCTGAATACTGAAAAATGGCCTGGATGGGAAGGGGGTTTAACACCGCGGATGTCAACTGGTTAAAGACTGTTGACAACATTCTTATGTTTTTATTTGTTGTAGGGTACTTTTCTCTCTTCCCTATCATTGTTTTGGCCTCTACTGAATTGTGACTGATACCTTTCTGCTGCGGGGTACACGCCGAAGAGCAGACATATATCAATCTTTCTTGATGATCCGCATGAGTCGGGGAGCTAGAGGGAAAGTTGTTGATCAGACAAATGTAACACTTTTGTTTTTTAAATCCTGAATTTTATTTTGATTGATGTTTTTTTTTTTCACAATATGTCTTTTATTGAATGTTTTTGTATAATACAGAACAATGAAAACAAAACAACCACGATACAAGTGTGGGGAACTTATGACAAAAAACGCTACAAGTGTCACATATGTAAATACCACCCAAGATATGTAAATTCAATGTGGCTTTCAACGGTGCTGGAAAGAGTGATATATTTTGATTGATGTTTTAAATGTGATGTTGAGATTCTGTGAAATCCATGTTTTCCCTAAAGTTGTGTTATTGGTGTAACGTAGGTTGCGCCTGTGATGGCACTATGTTAGTGCCTTTTGTGTATATTGTTATACTGCAAAACCAATAAGAAGATTTTAAAAAAAACCCACAGTACCACATGTTTAGGTAAAATATAAAATATGAGGTTGCATTGAGTAAAACAATACCAAACATGTCAAGCCTAAAAATTGTGCTCGCCCGTAGAATGGCGACAAACTTTGGTACCCAGAATTGTCCACAGGCGTCACTATAAAACCCTTTATTTGTCATCAGTTTGGTATGAACTGTGAATAAAGGCCCCCAGAATTATTGTCCTCATTCCGGCGTGTGGGCTGATATGTAACATGTGTCACTCAATCATTGTTAAATGTTAAATGGTCATTTAATGGAATAGATTTTAAAGCCAAAGGGTCAGTCTGACATCTGGGCAAACTTCATTTTCACTGGTAGATCAGCAATCGCAGTCTTCAACGTTTTTTCACTCATCAAAGCTCAGAGGGATGCAGACACTTCACCTATCCCTAGAACACTGAGACTGCTCAGATGGTTATAATGAAAGGCACACCCACTCATTCAGGAAAAGCTCTTAAAGGAGAACTACGGGGTCAGTGCTTTTCCCCATAGTTCTCATAATGGTAACGGGAGGACACAAACTAGCGTCCCCCCGTCACTCAAAGCTCAGTATACCGCAGCTACAGCTCGCGGTATACTGAGACACCGCAGCTGGGACGAATCCTGACATTACTGTCTGGATCCACCCAGCTGCGTGACAACTGGCTCTGCCTATCTAGAGGCAGAGCCAGCTGTACCCGCCCCCTCTCCCGTCCGTTCCGCCAGTCAGCGTTGGAGGATCGGAGCAGGGAGGGGGTGAATCCCTGCAGGAAGCTGTGAGTGACAGTCACGTCTCTCTGCAGGGAGAGGATCGAGAAGTGAGCGAGAGCCGGTATGTGTTCACTCACTTCCCGATCTATTGAGCCGACTTGTGACAGTTTCATTGTCACACGTCGACTCGAACTATGCGGCTGAGTGATTTTCACTCACCTCAATGTTCTCCTTTAATCACGTATAATGGATTCTGCTCCTCAATGTTTAACATTTTTATCTTCCTGCAGAATCAGCTGGTTCCATGAGCACTGGCCCCGATACCCTGTTTTAGGGGGGCTAATTTCCCTTTCAGGGTCCTATGGAGCCTCCCTTTTGTGTGATAGTAAGCTGTGTGTGTCTCCGCAAACACACAGACACAGCAAGACAAGACACTCCTCAGCTCCATACTCTCCGCTCCTTCCTGCTCCAAATTAGTAGATAGACATCGGCAGGAGTCCCTTGTATTCTTGTACTTAACAGGAGGTTCAGGGAAGCCGAGCTGATAGAGTTGGAGCTGTTTGGAAACATGATGATTGTAAGTGCTTGGGCAAAAACGTTTGCCGGGTGATTTGTTTGATCTGGATTCAGTACTGGGAAAAATAGTCGGAGAGTTTAATACTACTTTAAAACAGGACAGGAGCGTCTGCAGCTGGCTATGTATAAAGACGTGCGAAGAGGACAGAACTGCATCATTATTGTGTACTTTGTTTTCACAGTCGTCTGTAGCAGGGACAGTCGTCTGTAGCAGGGACAGTCGTCTGTAGCAGGGACAGTCGTCTGTAGCAGGGACAGTCTGTAAGTGACAGTCGTCTGTAGCAGGGACAGTCGTCTAACAGTGACAGTCGTTTGTAGCAGTGACAGTCGTCTGTAGCAGGGACAGTCGGCTGTAGCAGGGACAGTCGTCTGTAGCAGGGACAGTCGGCTGTAGCAGGGACAGTCGTCTGTAGCAGGGACAGTCGGCTGTAGCAGGGACAGTCGTCTGTAGCAGGGACAGTCGGCTGTAGCAGGGACAGTCGTCTGTAGCAGGGACAGTCGGCTGTAGCAGGGACAGTCGTCTGTAGCAGGGACAGTCGGCTGTAGCAGGGACAGTCGTCTGTAGCAGGGACAGTCGGCTGTAGCAGGGACAGTCGTCTGTAGCAGGGACAGTCGGCTGTAGCAGGGACAGTCGTCTGTAGCAGGGACAGTCGGCTGTAGCAGGGACAGTCGTCTGTAGCAGGGACAGTCGGCTGTAGCAGGGACAGTCGTCTGTAGCAGGGACAGTCGGCTGTAGCAGGGACAGTCGTCTGTAGCAGGGACAGTCGGCTGTAGCAGGGACAGTCGTCTGTAGCAGGGACAGTCGGCTGTAGCAGGGACAGTCGTCTGTAGCAGGGACAGTCGGCTGTAGCAGGGACAGTCGTCTGTAGCAGGGACAGTCGGCTGTAGCAGGGACAGTCGTCTGTAGCAGGGACAGTCGGCTGTAGCAGGGACAGTCGTCTGTAGCAGGGACAGTCGGCTGTAGCAGGGACAGTCGTCTGTAGCAGGGACAGTCGGCTGTAGCAGGGACAGTCGTCTGTAGCAGGGACAGTCGGCTGTAGCAGGGACAGTCGTCTGTAGCAGGGACAGTCGGCTGTAGCAGGGACAGTCGTCTGTAGCAGGGACAGTCGGCTGTAGCAGGGACAGTCGTCTGTAGCAGGGACAGTCGGCTGTAGCAGGGACAGTCGTCTGTAGCAGGGACAGTCGGCTGTAGCAGGGACAGTCGTCTGTAGCAGGGACAGTCGGCTGTAGCAGGGACAGTCGTCTGTAGCAGGGACAGTCGGCTGTAGCAGGGACAGTCGTCTGTAGCAGGGACAGTCGGCTGTAGCAGGGACAGTCGTCTGTAGCAGGGACAGTCGGCTGTAGCAGGGACAGTCGTCTGTAGCAGGGACAGTCGGCTGTAGCAGGGACAGTCGTCTGTAGCAGGGACAGTCGGCTGTAGCAGGGACAGTCGTCTGTAGCAGGGACAGTCGGCTGTAGCAGGGACAGTCGTCTGTAGCAGGGACAGTCGGCTGTAGCAGGGACAGTCGTCTGTAGCAGGGACAGTCGGCTGTAGCAGGGACAGTCGTCTGTAGCAGGGACAGTCGGCTGTAGCAGGGACAGTCGTCTGTAGCAGGGACAGTCGGCTGTAGCAGGGACAGTCGTCTGTAGCAGGGACAGTCGGCTGTAGCAGGGACAGTCGTCTGTAGCAGGGACAGTCGGCTGTAGCAGGGACAGTCGTCTGTAGCAGGGACAGTCGGCTGTAGCAGGGACAGTCGTCTGTAGCAGGGACAGTCGGCTGTAGCAGGGACAGTCGTCTGTAGCAGGGACAGTCGGCTGTAGCAGGGACAGTCGTCTGTAGCAGGGACAGTCGGCTGTAGCAGGGACAGTCGTCTGTAGCAGGGACAGTCGGCTGTAGCAGGGACAGTCGTCTGTAGCAGGGACAGTCGGCTGTAGCAGGGACAGTCGTCTGTAGCAGGGACAGTCGGCTGTAGCAGGGACAGTCGTCTGTAGCAGGGACAGTCGGCTGTAGCAGGGACAGTCGTCTGTAGCAGGGACAGTCGGCTGTAGCAGGGACAGTCGTCTGTAGCAGGGACAGTCGGCTGTAGCAGGGACAGTCGTCTGTAGCAGGGACAGTCGGCTGTAGCAGGGACAGTCGTCTGTAGCAGGGACAGTCGGCTGTAGCAGGGACAGTCGTCTGTAGCAGGGACAGTCGTCTGTAGCAGGGACAGTTAGTTTTTGCATGCCCTTGCTCAGATAGAAATGCTCTTTATTTCAGAATACATTTGGACTTAACTTCCTATAAAGCATGACAATCATCACTTATATACAGGATCTCACAGAAGTGAGTACACCCCTCACATTTTTGTCACTGTTTTATGATATCATTTCATGTGACGACACAGAAGAAATGACACCTTTCTACAATGTAATGTAGTGAGTGTACAGCTTGAAATATCAGTGTACATTTGCTGTCCCTTCAAAATAACTCAACACACAGCCATTAATGTCTAAACCGCTGGCAACAAAAGTGAGTACACCCCTAAGTGAAAATGTCCAAATTGGGCCCAAAGTGTCAATATTTTGTGTGGTCACCATTGTTTTCCAGCACTGCCTTAACCCTCTTGGGCATGGAGTTCACCAGAGCTCAATGAACCCCCCTCAATGAAGCTCAATGAACTGTAGCTCCCCAGTGCCGGCAGCACTCATGCAGCCCCCAGACCATGACACTCCCACCACCATGCTTGACTTTAGGCAAGACACACTTGTCTTTGTACTCCTCACCTGGTTGCCACCACACAAGCTTGACACCATCTGAACCAAATAAGTTTATTTTGGTCACATCAGACCACAGGACATGGTTCCAGGAATCCATGTCCTTAGTCTGCTTGTCTTCACCAAACTGTTTGCGGGCTTTCTTGTACATCATCTTTAGGAGAGGCTTCCATCTGGAACGACAGCCATGCAGACCAATTTGATGCAGTGTGCGGCGTATGGTCTGAGCACTGACAGGCTGACCCCCCCACCCCCACCCCTTCAACCTCTGCAGCAATGCTGGCAGCACTCATACGTCCATTTCCCAAAGACAACCTCTGGATATGAGCTTCACAGGTTGCCACTGGAGTCCTCTTCCACTCCTCCTTTGTCCTTCTTTCGTGCTTCCAAGATGAGATCAGACATCACTACAGTTCAATATGTTGTCATGCTGCCTGTCCTGTTTATTTATAACTAAACCATGCATGGTTCCAGTATTAAGATATCAAGGCACGTAGCACAGTGAGTGGCACCTGTGCATGCCGAGTACAAAGCAACATTTAAGGTCAGCTTGAATATTGAAGTAACCCTGAAACTGATCACGGTTCTGGCTCTCATTCCTCCACCAAGGTGAAAAGAAGCAAGTAATTTAGTCTCACATTAGCGCTAATGATTACATATCGTTATTCCTTTAACTTTCATTGTTAAATATATGTACTATAGTTACAAACATACATATTCAAAAAGGTTTTCATTTTCTTTACATTTATTGGATTTATGGGATGCATTTGATACATTGATGTATTTTTTAAATATTTAACTTCTTTGTTTGGTTTATATTTTGTATTTATGTGTAGATATTATTACTTTGATGACTATGAGCACTCACTTTAACCAGAAGGCTAAAAAAAAAGGTTTTAGAAAAAAAGCCACAGCGTGAGTAGAAAAGCATGCTGCAGAGTGGGACCCTTGCTTTCTGTGTGGAAGCAGCGGACTTTCTGCAGAGGTCTGACATTCTCCCTAAGTAATTACTAAGTAATGAGTTATAACTCATGAAATGGAGATGTCTGAGTTCAAATCCAAACAGTTTACACACACACACAATTACCAAAAGTATTGGGGCGCCTTTACACGCACATGAACTTTAATGGCATCCCAGTCTTAGTCCGTAGGGTTCAATATTGAGTTGGCCCGCCCTTTGCAGGTATAACAGCTTCAACTCTTCTGTAAGTCGTCCACAAGGTTTAGGAGTGTGTCTATAGGAATGTTTGACCATTCTGCCAGAAGCGCATTTGTGAGGTCAGGTACTGATGTTGGAGGAGAAGGCCGGGCTCGCAGTTTCCGCTCTAATTCATCCCAAAGGTGTTCTATCGGGTTGAGGTCAGGACTCTGTGCAGGCCAGTCAAGTTCCTCCACCCCAAACTCGCTAATCCATGTCTTTATGGAGCTTGCTTTGTGCACTGGTGCGCAGTCATGTTGGAAAAGGAAAGGGCCATCCCCAAACTGTTCCCACAAAGTTGGAAGCATTGTCCAAAATGTCTTGGTATGCTGATGCCTTAAGAGTTCCCTTCACTGGAGCTAAGGGGCCAAGTCCAACCCCCTGAAGAACAACCCCACACCATAATCCCCCCTCCACCAAGTTTTACACTTGGCACAATGCAGTCAGGCAAGTGCTGTTCTCCTGGCAACCGCCGAACCCAGACACGTCCATCGGATTGCCAGACAGAGAAGCGTGATTCGTCACTCCAGAGAACACGTCTCCACTGCTCCAGAGTCCAGTGGCGGCGTGCTTTACACCACGGCATCCGACGCTTTGCATTGCACTTGGTGATTTAAGGCTTGGATGCAGCTGCTCGGCCATGGAAACCCATTCCATGAAGCTCTCTACGCACTGTTGTTGTGCCAGTCTGAAGGCCACATGAAGTTTGGAGGTCGGTAGCTCTTGACTCTGCAGACATTTGATGACTTCTGCGCACTGTGCGCTTCAGCATGCGCTGACCCCGCTCTGTCATTTTACGTGGCCTACCACTTCGTTGCTGAGTTGCTGTTTCCAGTTGCTTCCACTTTGTTCTAATACCAGTAACAGTTGACCGCAGAATATTTAGTAGCAAGGAAATTTCACAAAACGCCTGAATCCAATGATTTGGAGGGGTGTCCCAATACTTTTGGCAATATAGTGCGTGTTTGAATGTATATATAGAATATATATTATAAATATGCATACATATACATATATATATATACACATATATAACACATGAGGTGCTAAAGGGGAGTGACCACGTTAACACTGACAATTTGGAATTAACCCTCTGCACAGTGCTATACACCCTTGCAAATTTCTAGCACCCTATTGCACAAAAAACATATGTTCCCATATATTGCATATACATAGACCTGAGTCCATAGCTCTCCTATATGTCCATTAAAGAATAAGAAAGTATTTGGCATTTTGCATGGTAGAGAAGGGACTGGCCAGAGAGAGATCACTTTGATGCGGTCGGCCAGCTTGACCATGTATTGCAATATATGCCAACCAAGAATCTATTATTTTATGCAAACATTTCCTAGAAATGTGTAAGGACGTATAACAGTGTGCACGGGGTCAATGCACAATTCTAATTGCAATGGGTCTCATGAAAAGCTCAAGCTCCCTGCTGGTTAGAGAGAGCTCTAGCTCTGACAAAACAGGAGTTGAGCCAGACCTGTGCAGAGAGACCACTCCTTCCACACAGAGAGCGTCTCTGAAGCATGCTGGCAGGGTTTACTACTTAAGAAAATGAACTGCGCACTTTGCACACCTTTTGTTTTGATGCCCCTGGAATGTAATAAGTGGATTCAGACTTTGTGAGGGGGAATGCAAAAATGTAGAGTTGTAACCAGGTAAGGGGAAATCTTCCAATGAGGATACCTGAGCAAGTGACAACTGTCTAAGGCTGGCCATACTCCTATCAATTTTTTTTTGTTCAACCCTCAAAAAATGGATCCGATTCCTCCATCAACACAAACAGTGTGTCGATCAAGGAATCTCCGCTGTTTACATTGTATTCAGAATACTCGTTCAGAGCGGGCAGCTCATTGGCTGCCGGTTCTGATCGTATCCAGCCACCTCCTTTGATCAGCTGATCGAGGAATGGCGGCTGAAAGGGAGCCAACAGCCCCACACACTGTGCGTATTTCGGCTGGTATATTAAAAACCGGCCAAAACTCGGCCAGCGTATGGGCACCTTAAGAGAGGAATTACATGGTAGAGATTTCCTCTCACCTCTTGTCGTATCTCTGGGGGACACAGTACACAGAGAGCAAAAAAACATTTCCCTACTCTAAACGTAACCTAAAAGTAAAAAAGTAATGTTTGGACTATAAATGCACTTTAGGATAAGAACGAAGGACTGACTACATAGAAAATAAATCAGATTTTACAGTCAAAGTGTATCTAAACCCTAGAAGAAAAATATAACATATTGAAGCTTATCATTCCTTAGATGTGATGGCTGCATTCGTTTTCTTAAGTTTCTCTTCCCCTGATGATCCTGCCAGTAACACACTTCCTGTCCTAGGGCGACTTAATCAATGTACTGTATATATAGGGGAGTGATCTGTAGTCAACAAAAGAGAACCGGGCCATACTGATATCCTTATTACACATTACAAATTTTGTCCCGTGCCTGATGAACCAGCTAAAATTCGCACAGTGGTGCCGTTATCAGCAGTCTTCCGCCCGGCAACCCTCCATCAGCAGATCGAAGAAGCAGGTTGGAAAATCTTCGGCCGAACAGAGCTTCGCTGCAATACCTGCTCGGGTATATTGTATTATATACAGGTGCTCCTCGGGTTGCGATCAATCAATTTTTCACATTTACGATGGAGTTTACTGTATAGTAAACTCCGAGTTATTCAGCACCCACGGATCGGTAGGTGCCGGATAACTCTAGTGTCTGGTTGCTGGAGAGTTAATAGTAGCTCTCCATCAACCAGCCCCGAGGCGCTCCGCTTCCCCCTTTCACCTGCCGGCTCGCTTCTGCAGCTGGCAGTTGAACGTAAACAGCCAGATACAATAGCAAGCCTGCTATTGGCTATTTCAAATTGTAATAGCCAATAGCAGGCTGGCTATTGCACCCGCCCACTGAGCAGAGGAGTGGACCCGAAAGAGAACTCTTTCAGGTCCACCAGTCCTCTTAGTGGAAGGGAGATTCAATAGCTAGCCTGCTATTGGCTATTATAATTTGAAATAGCCAATAGCAATCTTGCTATTGACTTCCATTGTGCACCATCTGCTGCCGACCACCGCAGATAGCACACTCCTCTGTTTACGATGGATTTTCCGGAATGTAACCCGATCGTAATGCAAACAGCGGGGAATTCGTCCATTCATGCGGTTCAGAGTAGATGGAGGAATCTGTTAAATTTTCTTCACGCAGCCTACAGGTTGGATGAAGAAAATGATATATGTGTAAACCCAATTTTAGGAGCTCACTGCATTTCTGGTGGGATCAGCAACAATTTTTCTATACTTACCGAACAGATAAAACGAAATGCTTCCAACAATAAATGGAACAAATAAGGTCCTTTTCTAGAGGTTACATTCACATAGGAGCGTCACCTTTATTGCTGACTTTAATTCCCCTTTCAATGATTTTATTAGTTCAACGCAGGAAGATAATATAACGCAGATTAAAAAACAAAAACAAAGGATAGACAATAAAATTGCTGCAATATATATTTTAATTCAAAGTGAATTTAGACAATAATACACCATAAATTCATATTTTGACACTCACCAAAATAGTAACCTGGAAAACCCGCTTTTTGTGACAAAGTACAGAAGCCTTGGTCACATTGAAAATCACTGAGAACTAGAGAGAAATACTATCGCAAACTGTAACGAGACATACATCCATAAAAATGTTTCCCAGTCCTCATATTAGAATATTGCACAGTGCAATTGCTACATGGCAAACTAGTGTAGCATAAAATAAAATAAAATAAAAAAAAGCCCAACAAAAACAAAAAAAATGAAAACAAATAATGATAAAAAATTAAAGCCACAAAAACTACATTTTTTTTTTTGTTAAACGGTAACAATTCAAACTTTGTCAAATCAAAGGAAATGAAAGCTGGATTTCTAAAACAGTCCTACCACTTGCAGTATGAATTAACTTGACGCAAGCCAAAACAAATATAAAATCACAAGAGCAAGTAAATATGGAGTTAAAAACTAAAACCCAAACCAAATCAGTTAGTGCAGTAGCATACTTAATAACACCCTGAATGAGTTAATATCTAAATACAATGAATCTGTAAAAAATAAATAGGAAATTGGTTGTGTAGAAGCACCTCTGCGGCTACGCAGTGTTTTATTTCAAAAGAAGGGTAGGAAAAAAAATTAGTTAAAATCAGAATTACAAGTTCTTTGTCCTTAGGTGAAGTAGCTCAGTGATTGGTGGTCGGCACCACAGCAGCAGCAGCCAATCAAAAGCGATTGCTCACAACAGCTGCTGTAAATGACTTAAAAAGGTTGTTAACAATTGAACCTCTTCATGGCAATATGAGCAGCAGTTATATTAAGACAACGCATGATTATCGATTTCAAATCCAGTGGACGACTTTAGTTTGCTCCTTTTCCACCTCATTAACAATAAAAGTTACTTTACCTTATTTTTCATATAGAATAACTTTAATACTACCACAGTGTTGCAATAACTTCATTACAGCATTGATACTCTAATGACCCCCCATGTAAAGTACCAATTACCTTTGCCTTAAGACCAACTTTGGAACATGATTGAGTACCTGCTGCTAATAGAAAATCTAAGGCCGTTATTTTGCTTTTGAGGTCCCTCAACACAGCAATGCCACATGATATTACTGAGCTAAGTTTAAAAAGTGACAGGTCATCACAGAAAACGGTTGCAGCACCGAACCAGAGAGACGGGGACACTTAACAGACCATACTCAAGCAAAGTCAGCTGGACAGAGCTTTACCATAACAGATGGCAGCAGGCTCTGGCAAGGATAGAAAGGGTCGTGAGAATCATTAGTGTTGGTTAGCATTCCATTCCTTCCCGAAGGGTATATTGATACGAGGTAAGAGTTGAGAAATTAAATGATCAGATAAATTATACGGAGTGTTTGAAAACTTCCCCATTCACTCGAATGAAGACATTTTTCCAACACACACAGGAAGAGTAGGCAGTCATCAGAAGTGAATGATGCTTGCCCTTTATTTAGGGCCTGAATCAGCAAGAAAGACTCCTTACTGCCATCTACCCAGGAGGATCAGTAATTTCAAGTGCATTCAAAGAAACGTGGACAACTGGTCAAGGCTAACATGGAAATATCCCCTCTTCTCTAGCCCCCTGCCCCTGAAAACGATAGATGGATTAAGGCAGAATGGGGCCCTAGGCAAAGCAGTAGCTTTGAAAATCCCCCCGGCCCTCTCTCTTCAATTGATAAAGAGTGCAACAGGTACAGAGAATTTGCCATACCTGGCCTGCCCCACCACACAACTGCCCGCAAGTGACGTGACTGGTGCAGAGCTTTGAACAATTGCACTATCCCCCTGGCTTACTGCAGGAATATGAAGGTAGTAGCTGGACCCCCTTTATATCCGCTGGTTCCCTAGACTCAGCCAGGTTGTGTGGTGGATAATGCGGCTTTGCTCAAATGGGTTTCCTTTTGCAGGTATAATTCAGGTAAAGGGTATTATTGTAACTTATCCAATCGAATGGTGCTACTATGAGCTAAGCTAGCCATACACAGCTCCTATCATATGCAGTCACCGGTAGGGTACTGGGGCAGCCAGGGCTGCTTAAATACAAAAAAGTCAACATAAGAGATTCCTCCATCTACACTGTTTAGGGTGGACTGAGACCCCATCTTTACCTGTATGGCTAGACTAACTTGGACAATGAAACCCTGATAGACTAAAATCAAATAAGACAATCTTAAAAACATCAGCCCTTCTGCTGCTTCCAAAAGAAGAACTAGGGGAACTAACTTATCTGTGTTAACATATGGCGGCATTTGAACCTATTAAAATAAAAAAAAAACCCTGTTAAGAGTTTCTCTACTATTGGCTTAAACTATTCAGCCAGTTACTACCTTCGACTCATGATCCTGAAAAGCCAAACTCTGGACAGTCACACTGAGATGGACTTTGCTATTGCTGCACCATCGATAACCATACCCTTCTATGGGTATCTGCAGTGCCGAATCCTTCCTGAGAATCCATCCATCTGAATACAGAAGGGTCTTTCCTACTGAGATCTCTTAAGATCACAGAATGAGGAAATATGCACACATGAGCTCTTACATTGGTTAATTTCTTCAAAAATACAACACAAAAGCCCTTTGAAGAAGAGACATGATTGCCAAAAGGAAAAGAGGAACGTAAAAATAATGATCTCAGATTTTTGGTTATCTAACATGCCTGGTTTCATTCCACAGTTCACTTCTTGCTCTGCTTGTCTTTTAGTGCTGTGAAGGTGGTGAGAACGTCCAGCTGATTGCCACTGCTGGCTCTTAACCCTTAAGCAGCACAAGGAAAATGCTACTGTGTTGAAGAAGGTGAATGGGCAGGCTGAACAAAGATCTGAACAGCTGACAGCGTGTGGCTTTCCTGTCCTACAGCTCAAGGAGGAGACAATCAAGAAGAACAGAGAGCGTTTCCTTCTCTGTGTATTTGGTGCTGTATTCTGGCTCAGTTTATTCGGGACAGTCCATTTAATTTCTTTTGGTTTTCTTTTTTTTTTTCTTTATCTGGCTGCAGTTTGCAAGCGTGTAAAGTGCTGTACACAATGTTAAGCTAAACAAATTATACAGATAGTACATACATACATTTCAAAAGATTCGGCCAAGGCTTTACTTATAAACAGGAGTACAGACAGGATACCTCATACTCAATGCAATGACTGCAGCACAAGGCTACAATTAATGGAGAATTTATGACTTTGTTTTCCAAGATTGTCCCTCTTTGGCACCTGCACAGGAGCCTTGAAGAATAAGGAGCTATAGAACATTGAACTGAAGGAACAGCAAACTTAGATGGCTGAGATTCACGGTCTATGGTGAATGCAATGTCAGTTTGTAGCCACACACTGTGCTTACCATAAGAACTCATGCAATTGGAGAGTGTCCGACTTAATCTATCCCACCTACACACTCGGGAAAGGGGGAACAATGTGTATTGGACTTTCCTTGCCACAACACAGTCATGCATTGTCCTCTCTAGACAGTCACTAACCATCCACAATCTCTGAAAACTCCCACAAACAAAATAAAGACCGACAATTGTTACATCAAACAGTTCTCAAGTGTAACAAAACTGGGTAAGGTACCTGCACTGTCAAAGCAGAGTTGACCTTCTTAAGCTATGTATAGACTGCTTTTCAGGATGTGGCTTCCATGTGCCATACAGTAGATGTGTTCAGCATGAGGTCTCCAAATGGCTAACTGTAGCCATTCTAAAGATCAATGATCAATATGGTCTGTAAAGACTGTTCTGTGTATTACAATGAACAAATCACAGATAAACAAGCAACCTTCCCACCCCAGGTAAAGACAACAGATGTGACCCAACATAATAGGTAATGTTGACTTCTACTGGATTATTTTGCTGTATATTGATTATGGCTGTAGGCCCATGAAAGCCACCATATTGTCTGCTTATTCACAACCATAATCAAAAAGCCTCCGACATCCTCACTCAACAAGCAGCTACAGCGCTCAACAGACAAGCACCAGAAGACCCTCCAGGGGCCCCCATGGTCAAACCTACATGATCAATGCTCATTTATCTGCATAAGCCCGTGCTAAACCTACACTTGATATTACTGAACTGGTACCTGACCGTGGGGAAGTCCACCAACATAGCATCCTTTCAAACCTAAGCTGCGCCACCACAGCAGTAAAAGGCTCCACTGTAATAATGTTACTTGCACATGGGATAACGATGGATGATTTTTCAGAAATGTTCACAGGAAAACTTGCTGCTACTTTTTTTGCGTTTATAAAGTTCGAGATGTTGCAAATATTGTTAGGCATATTCACAATGTATACATTACAAAACAGATTTGCCTCGACAGCTGTCATTTTATACCATGGTATGATGATACCAAAGATCTTCAAATGGGACATTTATTGGAGATATTAAACTCTTCTTAGCTTACAAAAGAATCAGCAGTTCTTTTTTAGGGTTGAATGAACCCTAAAAACACTATTTTCAGGAACGTTTTAGGCAGGACCAACGCTTGGGTACAGGGGAATCTATGCTTCATTATTTCCCATGTTCTGTTAAGAAGTGCAGGAGATGTTAGCACTAGAGAATTAATTCTCCAAAAAATGGTACACCCACTGACCCTAGACTGATGCAAAAAAAGATGGGTACTGGGAAACAAATGGGCCAAATGGCAACTGCTCTATTACCTGTACTATATCTATATTAACCCTACGTCCATGGGAATTAAAATGGCCTGTTGTACAAATAATTCATGTTTTTTTCCTCACATATGCTATAGCCTATTTTCCTGATCTCTGTAATTAGATGCACAGTTGCATGGAAAATCCTGGCTCTTGAGTTATAGGTGCAAATAGAAGCCTGTCTGCAAAATCATTCCTCAGACAAAAACTATCCGTTGCTATAGGATGTCATTAAGCAGCGGACTTACCCACATCAACTTTAGAAAACTAATTTGTGGGTCTGATTCCTAACCTTCGATAGAGCTAATTCTGGGAAGAACAAATTCCCGACTGTTTTTTTCCCTAAACAAAAATCCTAACAGCAGAAATGAAGCAAAGATGACTATGGACGCTGCCGTTCCTCATAATGTAACACTAGTATCAAAATACCACTGAATTAAAAAGAACATTCCTGAAGTTGTCAAGCAAATACACTGCTGTACAAGTCTGCACTCTGCAAATCCATAATGGTGATAAAAAGGAAATATTTGCAACATCTGCAAGCCATATCGGCTTGACTATCAGCTTTCCAAACCCTTGGCTCCTTGGCTGTTTTGAAACTTAAACGGACACTAAACTCAGGAGTTAAATCTTAAAAATGCATTCAACTATCTAAACTATTAACAAAAATGTATCTTATTTGTGTATCACTCGACTGTAGATCCTCAAATCATCTCTGAATTGGTGTATTGGAAAGTAGCCACCGCTCCAAGCTCACTCCTGAGATGGACTACAATTTCAATACAAATTAGTAAACTAAACATGAGATTGTAATCTACAACAGCACTAATCTCCCACAGTGTTTACATCCTCCAGTCAGAAATTGGTGCCGACACTGTCCTTCCTTCTGGAGGGGGGCTACTTTTGTTCCCCATGGTCCCTGTGTGTGTTGAAAAGTAGTCACCGCTCAAAGCTCGCTCCCATTATGGACTACATTCCCGATACAAATTAGTAAACTAAAACACAAGGTCCATCAACAGAGCGAGCAAGGAGCGGTGACTACTTTACAAAACACACAGGGACCATGGGGAACAAAAGTAGCCCCCCTCCAGAAGGAAGGACAGTGTCAGCACCCATTCAGAAATGATTTAAAGTGACATTAAAGGATATAAGTTTCCCCTCCACCCAATGTTAGTGTAAGAAATTACCTTAAATGATACCTCTTAATCCGATCATCTTCTTCCTTATTGTCGTTTTCAGCTGTCCTCCAGCGCTGGTACGGGTCTCCGATCCAGCACTGAGTCCTCTGTCCTCTTCTCTCGTGTCCCATGGAATCTGTGCGGGTGCATGCTGCTCCATAGACTTACCTTGTGTCTCTCCTCGTCTCCCGGCCAAACATCTGAACTGCGCCCCAAGATCCTTTGCGGCCGCCCGAGACTCCTCAAATGTTTGGATGGGAGCGCGCGGCGAAGACACAGATAAGTTTAAACCTGTTTCAAAGGGTTTTCTTTTAAGTGTTTGCATATATCTACTACTTTCTAGCAGTAGATATATGCAAAAACACGCGAGGGTTCAATAACCCTTTAAGGATTTGAGGATGTACAGCGGAGTGATACACAAATAAGATACATGTTTGTTAATAGTTAAGGTACTTGAATGAATTTTTAAGATTTAACTCCTGAGTTTAGTGTCACTTTAAGAGTCCCCTGCTATGGTCAGTTGTACACATATACCAGGTCATAGTATGTTGTCATCTGCAGTTCAACAACAGCAGGAGAACCTCAGGTCGGAGGATGCGGATTTGAAGAATGCCTCTTAATTATACCAGTAAAAAAAAAATAAAAAAAGTTTTACATCAATGGACATAATGCATAGCGGTATTTAGAAGAAATCTTGTGGTGGGGAGGAAAAAAAATGACCTTTAGTGATAATAAACAGGCTCTCTTTTTTACTCCCATCTTGTAAAAAAAAAATGTTTTAACACTGTAGAATTATGAATTTTTCGATATATTTAAAAAGTCTTGTTTTAGGCACATTCTTGTTTTAACATTCATTAAATAAAACACTGCTTGTGATAACACCACCCAGTACTAGAATGGAGATGGGGGGGGAGACAACCCCAGCCCCCACCAACAGGAATAACAGAATTGAGAGTTCTTATAGCTTATGGACAGTTGGGCAATTGCAGTGTATAGTGGTGTTAACAAGTTAAACAAAGGCTAAAAATCCCCCAATCTATCTTCAGTCTATTATATTTTCATTATTCCAGTCACTGGCTAATCTTCTCTATAATCAGATTCAAAGAAAACTATTATAAAAAAAAAAATGAAATCAAGCCTGCAAGATAAATTTTTTTCTCTTAAAAGGTATACACAACAGCAATATGAAAACATTAAAAAATAACTTACATTAATACACCCACTTATATGCAGTAATGAGCTCAAATTTATGAATATATAGAATACTGATGCAATACACACACCCCAAAAAATAACATATGCAATTAGGATCCATAATTTACAATACAGTAGTTACAAAGAAGACACACCAAAACATTAAATGCAAATTAAAATTAAAAAATAATAAAATCAGACAAAAAAAAAACTCCCACTATTACTTTATATATATCATTAGACTTAAAACAGGAGTAAGGCGGCTAAGTATTAACGGGATATGAAGCTAAAGTTCACAGCTATCGAAAAAGTGGCGTCTGTTACATATAGCAGCTCATCTATTATACATTCAAGATAAATGATAAGTTTTATTACTTGCCCAAAGCTAAAAACATTAGTCTTAATACCTTTTTTTTTTTCTTAAAGCCCACCACTAGACTACAGTATAATTCAGGTCTATGCAAAAAACGTAGCTACCTTTTGTTTATATAGATATTTTTTTTATATATATTCCATTTAAAGAAAACG